GCTCTGTCTTTTCTATCATGCTATCTAATGGGGATTTTTCTATCTCTTGGTAGGCGTCTGTCTTTTTCATATATGCTATCGACTTCTCAATATATGTCTCAGGCCTGTCAACGTGGAATACTTTTGATTTGTCTGTCTGTCTGAAAATTACTTTCCCCTTTTTTTGTTCTCTTTGAAAACGTTCTAAGGCCTTCTCTATTACTGGGTCTTGTGCTGTTCCCTCACTAATCTTACTTCTTAACTCTTCTTCTAATCTATTTGCGAACTTCTCAACTATAATGGGATTTTTATTCACTGTCTTAGTTTCTCTTCTCCATGCCTCAACTACCTTATCTTTCATTGCCTTAATCTCATCTTCTAATCTATCTAGAGCTTGTTTGGGGTTAACTGGTACAAATTTGGGGCCATAATTTAAGATTCTTCTCTCTTCCTCTCCTAAACTTAATACCTTATTATTTACTTGAGGTGGGAATCCGAGTGGGGTATAATGGGGATGTAAATTCTTAACCTTACTATTTCTTTCTATCCCTCTAGCTATTTTTCTATTATTCTTTGCGCCTTTCTCTCTAAAAAATGTAACTTCTTCTGTACTCGTCTATCTTGCCTTATCTGGATTGTACTTATTAGATCTTTATAGGCTGCCCTTATTCCTATTGGGATTTTCTCAACTAATTCTAAGTGCTCTTTCTCAGTCTGGTCTATCTCTTTTACCTTAGCTAATCTCATTATGGATGTTAAATCTAACTTACTCTTACGTATAACATTATTCCACTGCTCGCTATATTGTTCCCTATTCTCATTACTTAATACCTTACTTCTAAAGTGTAACTTATCCATAACATTAAGTGCTGGTGGTGGCATATTCTCATTTAGTCTACGATCCAACTTATCTAACTGGAATTTTAATTCTAAGGTACGTTCTAATGTCATTTGGGCCTTATCTACTAATTCTAAACTATTCTTATCGCCCTTACTTCTAATTATTCTTAAGGCTTTCTCTCTTATCTGGTCTAAGACTAAATTATCTAAACGTTTCTGGTTTGAGATTTTTAAAATATCTACTAAGGGATCTACACTGTTCTTAATATATTCTACTACTATCTTACGGACCTCTTCACTAAAATATTCCATATGTTGTTCTAACTCTTTCTCTTGTTGCTTAGCCTTTTTCTCTAAGAATTCCCTATGTGCTATAATATTCACTACACTAGCTGGCTGATGGAAGATCTTAAAATGGAACTTACACTCTATTGGGGTTATTGGGAAATTAACTATATTTAATCTATCTATATCTATCTCTTTGGAAATTACTGATGGGGAATGTACTACCTTATCCTGTTCTATCATTTCTACTGACTCGACTATTTCTTCCTGTTGTTGTTCTTTCTGGATCTCGATCTCAATATCTAACGGTTGGGGGCGTGCTACAGGTGTTCTCGGGGTACTCTGTCTTGGACTAACTATTGGCGGGCCAACTAAACCTGGTGGTGTTTTGGGTAACTCTATTATCTCTATTTCCTTAACTATACTAACATTCTTAGGTGTTCTATTCCCTGCTTCCTTACTACTATTCTCATTAACTAATAATACTGGACTACCTTCGGGTGCTCTTGGGTCATTCTCAATTGAAATCTTCTTTTTCTTTTTTGATTTGGGTTTCTTCTTTCTTATACTATTATCTTTTTCTGTTGCTGCCTTTTCTTTCGATGTTGGTGACAGACTTGTGTCTCTTAACTTTCTTTTTTTCTTTCCCTCTTCTTCGGTCTCACTACTACTCTCACTGGCTTCTCCCTTATTATCTGTGTGGCTACTCTCACTAGTCTGGCTACCATCGAGAACATTAATTAATTTTTATCCAAATAAATTAAGGTCAAAAGATCAGTTTTTCAGAGATAATCAACCACCACCACAGCTAGAAAAAGAAAAAAAAGAAAATAGTGGGGGGGGAGAAAGACATAGCCGAAAAAAAAGAGGGGGGAGAAAGACATAGTCAAAATTCCGAGAATAAAAAACAAAAATTATTTCTTATAGCCAACAGTTATTATCAGATGAGACACTTCGAGGAAGAAAGTAAGAAATGGAAGATTTATTAAAAATACGGCGGCCGTAAGGATCTACACCAGGGGATAGACTCTTACGATGCACGACGCTCGTTCGATATCATTATTGTTTCTTCGTACTACTGAGGCGTATGTTGGTATTGGTGTTGATGTTAATATTGTTGGTGTTGGTACTGTTGGACGTTGTTGTTGGTGGTGGTGCTGAAATGAAAGAGAAGAAGAAAAGTGCGCGGCGGCACGGTTCGAGAACCATTCACGAATAGCTCCTTCATATTTCCATCGGCCAGTGGTAGTTGATGGATGTAACCCATCTTCTACACGCATATCCAAGGGTCCGAGACGCGCATCAACAATATCAAAATCTAATTTCTTAGATAAGAATCGGAGATGCTCATTGAATTGGTTATGCATTTGTCCGATTTGGGCCGCGGAGACGAATCTCGTTGGTTTCCACCGGGGTGACAAAGATAACCAACCAATGGTACGGATACCAGGGAATGACTGGCGAACAAAACGTATGAGCTCGCTGACTCGCTGCAGAGAAACATCTACTCCGTACCGCCCCACATCGTTAGTACCCAAACAAAAAAGTAAAAATTGTTTATCTCCTACCGTACCGCGACCTTCAGGTGTGTTTAACCAATTTATCATTTTAACAATATCACAACCTGATTCATAAGATAATTCAATGTTAATATAATTATTTTTTAATGCATAAGTTCTCACACGAGAACACATTGAATCGGATAGTATAATTCCCTTAAAATTATTATTATTATTATTAATATTGGGTACGGGTACCGGTGGACGACGATAATTATTTTTATTATTATTATTTTGTTGTTGTTGTTGGTAAATACGACGTGGTTTTATTGGTGGTGGACGAAATGGTGAACGTGATCGGGAACGAGATTGAGATGGTAATTGTGATAATATATGGAAACGGGTACGTGATGTTGGACGTGGTAAATGTTGATGATGTTGTTGATTTGGATGATACTGTTGGGCATGATGGAATGACCGGGTATTATGTTCAGATGGTAAATGAAATGGATTAATATCAAGTAAAGATGGTAAATTTTTGATATTATTATTATAATTATTATTATTGTAAAAATTGGGTCGACGATAATTATTGTAACGATTATAATGGTAATTTTGTTGTTGTTGATAACGATTATTATTATTATAAAATGGTGTTGGTGGTAAGTATTGACGTGGTGCTGGTGTAGGTGGTAAGTTAATATTGTTTGAACCATTATAATTTGTATAACCATTGAATGTTGTTGTTGTACCTGTTTGAAATTTATGAAAATTGTTGTACTTACGTTGGCCAGCCCCATATAATGCTGGTTTACGTTGAACTTGTTGAGTAAGATGTTGGTAAGTTGGTGGAATTGTTCGTGGTGCTGGTTTTGGATTTAAATATGCAGGACGCATTGGTGGAATATTAATATTTGGTAAATTTGATGATGTTGTTGAGGCATATGAACGTGGAATAATTGTAATTGACGACATTGTTAATTCTTTTTGTGAACTGAGTATTTGGTGATGGTTCAACTTTAAATATGTGGGTGTGATTTAAATAAATAAGCGAATTAACAATGATAATATTTAATTTAGATGGCAGGTAAGTATATAAATAAAGAAATAAATATATTTTAGTAAATGAATAAGTAAATATTAAGAAAAAAATTGTTTTTTATTAGTTTTATGTTTATAAGTTTTTTTGTATAGTTTTTAGTTTGTTTTTATTTGTTTTTTGTTTTTTTAGAATTGAAAAAAGAGTTATCTACTTTTTGAACTTTTTAGAATATTAAAGAAAAGATAAATAAATAAATAAGTGAACTTGAATGAATTTCAAGTGAAAAAACGAAAAATTTGGTTTAAGTGAAAGAAAATGAATTGAAGTAAATTTCTAAGTAAATTTTTAAGAAAAATTGGGCAGAGATTTAGTACTTTTTGAGTAAATAAAGCAGAAAGAAATGAAATTAGTTTAAGTAAATTTTTAAGAAAAATCGGGCAGAGGTTTAGTGTTTTTTGAATATTTTAAGAAATAAATAAATGAATAAATAACAAATAAATATATAAGTTTGAGCAAAGAAAAAATAAGTTTTATTTAAAGAAAAAATTGAATTTTTGAGCAGAGAAAGATGAATAAATGTTTTTGTGTTTTTAGAATTTGATTTTTAAAGAAAAATGAGCTTTTTTGAGATATGAGAGTGAAAATGAGCTTGTTTTTAGAATTTAAGAAAAAAGTAAACTATTTTTGGTGAGAAAATAGCTATTTTTTAGTTTTAAGACGAGAGTGAACTTTTTTTGATTTTTTAATTGATTTTTGATTGAATTGTAATATAATATTTGATTTTTAATGTAATTTTATTTAATTTAACAATAAAGTTAATAAATAAACACAGTAAAATTGTAATAAGCGACGCGTTTCGAATATTCTTCAGGCTATGAATGACTATCTCAAGATGGCTACCGTTCTATTTCTTTTCGTTCTTTCCTCTCGTCCAATGAAAAAATATCTCTCGTCCGCGGGGGATTACTTATGCACTTGGGGTAAAGAGGGCGTTAGCTATCACTACTATTATTATTTTCTCTCATTCTCAACTCAGGGGTGCTCAATCCCTATCACAATAAAAAAATAACACACAAAAATACAAAAAAAGGAAAAAATAACAAACTAACGCAAAATAATAACACACGAAATTACAGAAAAAAGGAAAAGGAAAACAACAAAACGACAAAACAACAAAACGAGGCGACATACAACTAAATAATACTAAAAATAAATGTTCTTTATTTTCTTCCTGTTGTTGTCGTCATAAATAACTAAAATAGAAAACGAAAAATGGGGAGGGGGTATCTTTTCTCCTTATTCTCAACTTATTCTCAACTTATTCTAAATTCTCTACTAAGGCCTTAATCGCTGACTTTGGGGGTTTCTTATGAACTAATATACTCTTTAAATTATCTGTTAATCTATGGGCAAAAATAACTGGGATATCGCTAAGCGGTGTTTCCTCAAATATCTCTGTCCAAATTCGGTGAAATCTTGACCCGAAACGAGCTAAATTTGGTGTATAGGTAAAGTGGAGTAAAATATCTTTGTTAAAGTTAATCCCGGGGTTTTCTTTTTTATTCCATCCTGGATCTAAGACCTTATCTCTAAACTCATTATGTCTATTGCTCAAGAGTAATTTTGGTCCCTTCTCTCCTGTTAAAGTCTCAAAAAATCTTCTAAAATGTTTATCGATAAAAATTGAGGGATACTTATTCAAAAGGAGGGTAATTCTAACTTTTTCTATCTCTTCTTCTAAATTTTCTCTATGGGAACATATTCTAACTGCTCTTAAAAGTGCTGAGAAGGGTATATTCTTCTTAACATGGGGCGGGTGTGCTGAGTTATATGGTAATATATAGGGTTGGGCAGCTAACTTTCTATAGACTTTCGTTCTAAAGTTGGGGACTTCTACTTGAACTCTTATATCTAAATAATCTACATGGGGGCCTGTCTCAAACGTTAAACCTATGTTCTTATCCTTTCTACCTAATTCTAATAAAATCTTTTCTATTTCTACCTTACTCTTCTTAGTGGTTAAAAAAATATCATCCCTAAATCTAAAGTATAACTCTCCCTCTCTCTCTTGGTCTACCTTAAACTGTTTTTCCCACTTTCTCATATAAACATCCGCTAAGACTTGGGTACATTCTGATCCCATGGGTCCTCCTCTAACTTGCTTATAATACTTAACCTTCTCTCCTGGTAACTGTAGGGCAAAGTACGCATTTTCTAAGACATGTCTAAAGAGGGTCCTTATCGTATTGATGGGAATTTCTCCATTAACCTTATTTATCTTATTCTCACCTAACATCTCACATACTGCTAAGATAGATTCTTGCTGGGGGATCATTGTATATAAATCTGTTATATCAAATGTATATACAAGTGTCTGGTCTGTAGTTTCAAACTTTTTTAGTTCCTTTAAAAGTTCCATACTATTTCTCAAACTATACGGGGTAAATTTATCAAAAATGGGTCTAATAATTTGATCTAGAAAGGCCGAGATTTTCTGTGTTGGTGATTTCATTCCCGAAACAATTGGTCTAAGTGGCTCTCCTACCTTATGATCTTTTGGGTTATAATAAAGATGGGGTAACTCGGCTTCTATTGGATCTGGTTTTAACTTCTCAAAATATTTCCCGGGTAGTAACTTTCTATTGACTAAATCCCTTAATAACTGCTCTGTCTTTTCTATCATGCTATCTAATGGGGATTTTTCTATCTCTTCGTAGGCGTCTGTCTTTTTCATATATGCTATCGACTTCTC